ACGCAGGCCCACCATCATCTTACAATTCAGCTTCCCCGGAGCCATCATCACCGACAACAGGAGAGTCGGGCGGGGGCACGATCTTGCCATCCACGATCTGAGACATGTAGCCCATCCCTTCAGTGTTCAAACCGGGATTCAGTAAGGAAAGCTGGCTGACCGCGGACTCGAATCCCTCCTCCATAGCGCCGACACAATCCGCTTCGAGGAGCCGGATACGGGCGACCAGCTCCGATCGACTCCTCAAAGCGGCTATATCCTCCGGCTCATCCTCGGCAGGAAGCATGGCGGCCTTCAGGTCATCGATCTCTCTGGCGAGGCGCCCGATGTCAGTTTCCAGACGCTCCCGATCCGCATGGAGAAGCTCTCTCTCCTCGGCTAGCTTCCCCGAGTTCTCCTTTTCCAGAGTCAGCATCTCTGTCTCAGCAGCCAGCAGCGCGGCTTGCTCGCGGAACATCTCCTCAGAGCGCTCCAGGGCAGCCTTTAACTTTCGCGAACTCGAGGTGAGGGCCGCTTTCTCCTGTTCTAATTCTTTGATGCGGTCGGGATCCTCCCCTTCCTCGGACAGCACAACGGCCATTTCAGCCATCTTCACCAGCCCGACCATATTGGCGGCCAGGTGCCTCCTCCGGTCCTCCTTGCTCATCCTCCTGATGGCCTCAGCCTCATCGGTAGTCACGGAAAAAGGGAACCCCTCGAAGAAACCCTCCTCTTTGAAGCAAGGGGGCAGCCCGAAGGACCTTACGGCGCTGGAATCCTCGCCGACCGCCGGCCCACTTTCCACCCGGTTCCTTTTCCTTGGTATCAGGTCGGTATGTGGCTCGACCTCCTAGATCTCCGGGGTCTCTTCCGAAGCATCCCCCGAGCTAGGCGACGAATCCACCCTCACCACATGAGAAGCGCCCGGACTATGCGGCGGGCCCATCCTCGTTGCTTGAGGAGCCTTCACCACCCTCTTGTTCGCCCTCCGGTCACAGGACAACTTCAAGAGCCTCTCCCGTCGTCCGACCATCGAACCTACACGAACAAAAAACCGAGTTAGTGCCGAGCAAATAAGCAAACAAATGACAAGCGAATTCAAACAATAAATGACCTAGCAGACGCGCAGCCTGCCCGAATGACTGGCACTCCACGAGTGACTTCGTATCAATCGGTCAGGCCTCGAAGGTCGGATAACCCTCCTCGTCCAGGACATCTTCCCCCTCCCTCGTGGCCCATCTGGCGGGGTGGAAGCTATCAACGTACCGACAAAGAGTGTCGTAAGCCTTCTCGTCCTCGGAACCCATGTCGCCTGCAGACGTATGATAATACCCAGTGCCGTGCTCATAATGCCTAGAGATCCAATGCACGGGAAACTTGGCCGTGCGTCCCAACACCAGATGCCCGTCGTTGTCTAAAAGTGCCTCCCCGTCATCGTCGCTTATCACCGCTTCCTCCTCGTACAGGGACTCTAAAGCGGTTGTGGTAACCGGCCTCACGACATACCACTTGTCTTTAAAACCCCGCACGGAGTCCATGTACATCCTGAAAAGTCTCTTCGACTGTTTCAGGGAAACCCAACTATGCTTTCCTCCCCGGGACTGGCGCTGCAGATGGAAGACTCTGAAGAAGAGGGGTATAGTCGCCCCAATCCTCAGAAAACGACAGGTCAGCTCAAACGCCCGGATAAAGGCGAGCGAATTTGGATGTAGCTGCGACGGGGCCAGCCCCAAATGGCTAAAGACCCCGACTTGAAAGTCGCTGAAGGGCAGATGCAACCCAAGGTCTTTGAATGCAATTTCATACATAGGGAAGCTGTACTCGGGGAACACCGAGCAAATTCGAGCAGTGAAGGTCGGTCTAGTAACGACGAAATTCTTTTGAAAACCGGGCTGGCCGTGGTCCGCCTCAAGGACAACGTATGGCCTTCGGCTGCGCCAACTATAGACCGAGGCGATTCCTCTAGGCTCGGCACCCACCCAGTCCAACAGAGGGTCCTCTACGGAGTCAACCAAACTCACAGTCTCATCGGCACTTTGTTCCTCCCTTTCGGGGCGTCCTGAAGAGCACGGTTCGTCCGCCATGGTTACCTACAGAGCACGGGAAACCAGTCAATTGGGCACGAAACCACACGCTCGTCATAACGGACAAGACGAAGTGCGCGATAAACCACGTCGCTCCACGCGCGACCATAAAGTTGGTTTGAAACAAAAATAGCAGTCGCCTCCCCGACTTCCAGATACCTCGACGGGTCCTTCTGCAAGCCGCCTAAATAAACCGACAACACGGTCACTCGTGAATACGTCGACCCGGGGTATGAACATGGCGAGCAACATCATAAAGCCTAAAGCTAGAGCTATGAGTATACCGGACACGATCACGAATTAGGCGCCCTGGATCATGAAGACCCCGAGCAGCACTGCAGATTATAACCTAAACTATGTATCTACCGGCCACGAACATGCGTTTGCTGACCTCATGCATGAATTTGTCGGGCCGAACATAAGGTTACCGGGCTAGTCCCACGCACACAGCCTCTAAAAACGTCTAAAACGATGAAAATCATGCATCACAACAGAAAAACAGAGAAGACAAGTCACTTACTTGGAATCAAGGAGTAAATTTGGCGACGGAGGAAAGGAATCGGTGACGGAGATCGCGGCGATGCTATGAGAATCTGGGAAGAACAACAGCAGTAGAAACAGAGCGAAGGGGAGAAGCGCGAAGAGTAGTAACACGTTCTGGGGCCCAAGGATCCTATTTATAGTGATGACATGGAATACCAAACGTCACCTCGGGCAGCCACGGATTCCCCTCCTCGACGCGTAGCTCCCCTAGGCAATGATGACCCTATCCTCATAGGGTGGCGGCACAGTTCCCAAAAGATACCTCGCGTGCTCGACAGACGCATGCTGTTGAGGAATCCCCGAGCATTCCTCGCGGGGGACCTGTCCCCGAGCACGATACGGGAAACTCTCGAGTACCCCCACGAGGAGCTGCGTCTCTTGCCCGAGCACGAGGCCCCGAAACGGAAGCAACCTAAGATCAAGCCATGGCTCCTAACCCAAGGAACCACGACTTGAGGGGCTCCTGTTCTGGACTGGGCCCGGCTGGCCCAATAGCAACGAGAAATGCCAAATCCAATCGGACTTGCTAGGGGTCACGCCGACCTAAGGATCATAGCTATGCCCGGCACACGTCACTGGGAGACACCCCGTCCTCGTATTGTCCAGCTCGACATTAGCTCGAGCGCTCCTTCGCCAGTGAACACGACCCACTGCATCCTCAACGGGACTCCGAAAAGACCGCGTCTCTGTTCGCCCGCACTTCACGCAGAACATCCAGAGAGGGGACCACATGCAGGTTCCCACTACGCACGTAGAACCTGGCAGTTCCTCCATTGGGCCAAACCTGCCCAGCCCAATGAAGGAACCTTGGCCCAGCGTTGGGGGCTATAAATACCCTCTGTTTCCAGAGGGTCAGGTATTCATCATTCTACCCATACTCTTACTATTGCCTGCTCGTGCTCTTACTTACTTCAGCATCGGAGTGTCTTGCAGGTACCCCCCACCTCGTTCAAAACTTCAGCTCGGAGCCAGCCGTGACGGTCCAAGTCTGATCAGGACAGATCAATAACTAAGATTGTTCAAGTAGTAAGAAATTTGGATCTCCTTAAGTAAGTGGTTAGAATCAATGTAGATCTTAAGTAAGATCGATCGGTCTGCGAAAGATAGTAAAATTTGGATCGTTAGTATGACATTTAAGATCTGGCCAATGGAAAAAAGGATAATTTCACACATATATATACACACATAAACATGAAAATCATAATGCGGGCCTAAAAAAACCAACACACTATCTTGCTTTAAAAAGCTCAATTTTAATCACGCTGGCGACAAAAACGATCTTCGTTGATCGTAGTACTCTTAGATATTCTTAGCATTTAAGATCTTAAGATGTAGCACTGGATCTTAACTATACTATTAAGAACTTGATTTTGATTTTTGGATACAAAATGAATTTAGTTGGAAGGAGTGAACTCATCCTCTTCCATGTAAACGATATTAAAACTTTAAACTTATCACATAATTCGGTCATATTAATTTAACTACAAATATCGATATTGTTGTATTGAATACTTTATTAAAAATTCCAAATTTACTATTTTAGTCCCCTGTTATTACTAATTCACAATTTTAGTTTTATAATTTATATTTTTCACAATCTTATTTTCCATATTTTATTAAATTTAAAAACAATTTAAATGTGTAGACAAAGTACTTAGAAGTTGATAATAAGTTGGAACTGTTTTTGGCGAAAAATGTTACTATAAATCAATGATTCACCAAATTCAGCAACCGAATGCATTTAACAAACTATAACCAAAATGGTAAGTAATTTGTTAGATGTTGGAACTGAATAATACAGAAGTTAATTATATTTAGAAAAATAAATAAAGACGTAACAATAATTTCTGGTAGATGTAAAAGAAAACAGAAGCAGTTCAACATTCTCTTAAATATTTTTACATATATGAAGCATGTAACAAAAAAAAGTTTAAAAAACAACCATACCTTATACCAGTAATAAGTTAATTTTTTAAATTAACATAACCTCTTATATTGAGAATAAATACATCAAAAAAATTATTTAGAAAGAACACATAAATTATTTTGAAAGAACACATAAATTTTTCTTGAATTTGTACAATTATTTTTTGAATTACCATTGCATGAACACAAAACTTGTCATGTCAAATACAGCTTCAGAAAATCCACAACACATGAGTGTTAAGGTGACTTTACAATCCTTAATTTAATCAAAAAATAAATGTGTTACCCTTTAATTGTATGCATGTCTTGTATTTATATTGTCAACCTTAATTGAATGTTTCTCTTGTAAAATATTTTATAGACATTTTCAATTCATCAAAACTTTTACGCGTTTTTGTGATCTTTATGGTTTGCACATCATGTTTGTTTCTTTTATTCCAGAGTTTCCTTGCATTATAAGCTATTAGGATGTCTTCTGCTAGATTATGTGGTTTGAAGCCATTACTATTTCGTCGAAAATCAAGTGTTAACGAGGTAATTAACAAGGGTTCATTGTTCTTTTGTTATTATAACTTTCAATTTTATGAAATTTTTTAGAGATAGCAGCGCTGTTATTTCTGTATAGTTTCGATTATATATTACTTTGAGTTGTTAATTACACATATATGCAGTCAATGAGAAGTTCAACCTCACCAAAGAAGTCTCCAAAGGCTAACAATGATGATTTGAAGTGGGAGTCGATGGAATTATCATTTGTAGGCATGGATCAATTGATGTTAATGATGGAAGTTCATAAGAAAATGTTTGTGTTTCGAGACATCATGGACCTTGTTCCTTTGCCAACTTCCGCTTCCTTACGTCAGGTACGATACAATACTCGACATATATTCATGTTGAAATAAACATAATGTTCATGACTATTCTATAACATTGTTTTCCTATATTAGATGGTTATTATGACATTAGAAGATCTTCATCAGCTTTATCCAGTGATCATACCGATCAAGAAAGTTGCTGATATTAACGACAAGTCTACCGATCAGGGTCTTGTCTACTTCTGCGAGGCGTTAAAGTCTCTCGGAGAATCATGGTTGATAAACGATTTCAAGGACATGAACAATAGCGAGTTACCGATACCATCGTGCAAGGATAACACCAATATGAAGGAATTGGGTATGATTGCTTCCTTGTCAAGGAATTCATAGTCACCGATACAGAATATGAATTTAAGATACTATTTCAATTTTTTTTGCAGGTGTTACTATGTTGGCTACACTAGATTGTTTGATTAAGATTGCGAGCGAGAGATTTGATGTCATGGAAGAAGATTCGCCTAAGAGATGTTTCAAATCGTCGTATATCTCAGATATAAGCCCTTCTTCTCCTCTCACGCCAACATCGGTTCTGCCAGAACCAATGGAATACACTGCAAAATCAGTTTCTTGTAACTCAACACTTTGGTCTCTAAGAATTCAAGGTGTTGAGAAGCTGAATCCGATCAATTTAAAGCGATTATCTTACCATATGTCACCGCAACTCATTGAAAAACACGATAGTGAGATAGAAAAAGAAGCAATTGCAGATGAGGAAAAGGATCAAAAAGTTGAAAATTATGAAAAGGATAGAACAAAGGATCTTGTTTTTGACTTGGACAAAACATTTCCTTTGCCGCTGCCACCTCTGCCGCCTCCTCCGCCTCCACTTCCACCATCAAAAGCTCGACTGCAACAAAATGAAGTGGAAGTTAAGATTTCACCACCACTGTCTCTAGGCTTAGGCTCGGCAAAACCTGGATCAGTTCCAGTTCCTCCACCATTGCGTGGAAAGGGAAGCGCTGTACTGCCTCCTCCTCCACCTCCTCCACTTCCACCACCAGCAACACCTCAATTGCAACAAAGTGAAGTGTCAGTTAAGATGCCACCACCTCTGCTGCCGCCACTACCTCCATCAATTCCACCACCTCCACCGCCTTTGTCCTTGAAACCTGGATCTTCTCCAGCTCCTCCACCACCTATGCCGCCTGGAAACGGAGGTGCAGCACCACCGCCACCACCATTGGGAGCAGGTAGATCCTTAAAGCCTAGAGCAACTACAAAACTGAAAAGATCAACACAATTAGGAAACCTGTATAGAATTCTCAAAGGAAAAGTAGAAGGGTCTAGCCTCAAAGGAAAATCATCTGGTGGAAAAAACACTGCCATTGGAGCAAAAACCAATGGAGGAAAACAAGGAATGGCTGATGCTCTAGCAGAGATGACAAAAAGGTATACTGAAGTCTCTGTAGCACCAATACCTCTATAAAAGAGCGTGTTCGTGTCACTTTCTGAGATCAACGACACTGACACTTATGATTATGTTCAATCTATTAATTTATTCAAATTATTAATATTGTTGATGTGTTAGAATTGGTTAAATTTGAATCAAATGTCTCATCTATCTCTCTGATTATCGATTTCTTTGTTTGTTTCTTTCCCCGCATTTTTACTAGATCATCATACTTTCAACAAATAGAAGAAGATGTTCAAAAGTACACAAAACACATCACAGAACTAAGATCTACAATTACAAAATTCAAGACAAGCGAAATGACAGAATTGATCAAGTTCCACAAAGATGTCGAATCCGTTCTTGAAAATCTAACCGATGAATCTCAGGCAAGTTTAGTTTCAAACCTTCATGTCCCTTAGAATTAATTAGTCTGCCATCTAAAACAATTACCATACTAGTATTAATATTGTGAATCGTTCAATGCATTGTGAGCGATTCCTCGAAAAAATCTACCTTAGTCATGATTCACTATAATCTGTTCATGTATAGGTGTTATCGAGGTTTGAAGGTTTCCCGTCTAAGAAGCTTGAAGCTATAAGAATGGCAGCAGCACTCTACAATAAAATGGATTCAATACTCAAGGAGCTTCAAAATGTGAATATCGTTTCGCCAGTGACTCAGGTTCTTGACAAAGTCGAAGGTTACTTCAATAAGGTAACCCGAAAATCGCTTAATATCAACATGCTATAAGTTATTTCCTTTGTTTGCATAAAATTATTCAATCATTGGTAACTCAACATGATCAAACAAACAGATCAAAACTGAATTAGACACGTTAGAGCGAACGAAAGACGAAGAAACTAAGAAGTTTAAGAGTCATAACATCGAGTTTGATTTCTATATCCTTGTAAAAATCAAAGAAGCAATAGTTGATGTTTCCTCCAATTGCATGGAGCTAGCACTTAAGGTTAGAAAAATGCCACCATACACGCAAAAAATAAAATATAAACAGAATCGAATTCGAATTTGACATTGCATTTGAATTCGATGCAGGAAAGGCGCGATAAAAATGCCGAATCAAATTCAAATGGTGTTAGTGATCAAAAGAGAAAAGAGTATGGTAAATTGCTTTGGAGGGCTTTTCAATTTGCGTTTCGAGTTTATACATTTGCCGGTGGACACGATGATCGGGCTGATAAGCTTACAAGAGAATTGGCTAAGGAAATTGAGAGTGATCCAAATCAAATCAACCATAGTCATGGATGATCTTCTTCTACAAAGATTGTTGCTAATAGAAATAAAATGATTATGTGATATGTGCTTAGATTGTTAAGTGGAGTTTTAGTTTTGGGTTTATTTTTAAAATATTCATCCATTTTTGTACTTTTTCAAGCTAATTGAATGAATTATTGACAATTGAAGACTAAGCTTAAGAACAAGATGTGCTAAAGCGTAGCAAAAATATGTGTTGAATGAAGGATGAATTGCGTGGGTTTAAAAAATTATCTTCAATTACAATTTTTATTTATTTATTAGAATTTTTAAATTAATTTTAGAAATCAAATAAGGAATAGACATTAGAATAATTAAAAGAAAGAAAATCAAAGGAAAGAAATAAAAGACTAAAATACAAAGAGATAAAGGAAGAGAGAAATGCATCATTAATTTATACATGTTCGACCTAATCACTTGCCTTAATCCTATCCTCAATCATCTATCTTTGAGATTTTCCATTATATGAAATGTGAAATTTTCACGGGTTATTGTCCACAAACCTTCTTATAACCAAACATGAGAGTTTATACTTGTTAATCCCCAAATCAAACGAGAGATTTCACATCGAGCTAATCTCAAAATCGAATAGAGTTTTAACACATGGTTGAACTCGAGAACTAAATAGAGGTTTTGATGGCTAAACTCAATAACCAAACATGAGATGAATAAGAAATAGTTTTATATCGAAGAAGTAATGGAAAAAGTTTGCGAAAGACCATCGTTTTGAGAAATTCAAGGTTAGTAGTAGTCATATTTATACGATAATTTTATGCTAATGAGTTATAGATACTAATCATATATATTTTTTCACTATGTGAAAAACATGCTAAAAGCGCAATAGGAATACAAAACAAGGCAAAAAAACATGTCCCCCCATAGATTGTCTCGTGGGGGTTACAGGAAACTTGAGAAAACAATCATGATTGAAAAAAAAATCAAGAAACAGGAGATGATCACATTCCATCTCCACCTTCAAGACATGAGAAGTGGAAGAGGGCTCGACTAAGACTAAATTGAGAGTGCACCTCAGATGCGTCAAGAGGAGTTGCTGAGAAAATTATAAGTATGATTTATTTTGATCATGTTATTTGTTATTTAAATGCTTTTGTAACAATATATGTAAGTTGCTCATTTTGTGTAGGATAAGTTGATTGAGGAGGCATGTGAAGGCACATTTTTCCAGAACTACGACATGATATACTAGTAGAAGCTATCAGAACAAATGTGCATGGTGGGTGTGTCTGTGGTGTTGCAGAAGGTGTCAACATGAAGTTATACTTTGGTTCTGCAAGAAAAAGCACCGGAAGTGTGGAATTTCAAGTACAAACAGAAAAAATTGAGAATTTTGAGAAGCAGTTAGATGAACAAAAGAGGATGTTAGAAGAGGAGAAGGGAAAACGGAAGAAAGATATGGAAAAGTTAGAAAAGTTAGAAGAGTTATATATGATATGTGCTTTATTTGAGATGCTAGTGTTTTATCATAAATATATGATATTTATTGTGCTTATTTTGTTTTATGTTCTAATTGAATATTATGATGTAAAGAATAAGTGAAAACATCGAACAACGTATAAATAATGAAGATCAACATAATATTGATGGTGATGATGATCATTTTCCAAGTAGAAATATTGTACATCGTGCTAGCACCAAAGGAAGTAATTGTTCTGGCCCTTCCCCCTCCAGAAAACTGCAATGAGTTAATGGATCCTATCATAAATGAGATCACCATGTTGTACTTGAGCGTTATGGAGATGAATGAAATGCAACCTCTTGGGCTAGAATATTGTCCATCGATAGAGTTATTTTATTATAATCGATGTAAGGTATTTTCTCGTTGGATATAAGTGATTGAACGTAGGGATATTACAAGTATGATACATGTAAGTATATAATTGAATATGCATGTCATTATAGAATATTATCATTTTTTATATTTCCTCCCTTAATTTTTTAATTTTCTTTAATCATTTAGGTACATTCACCGTGTTTGTATAGAGTTAAATAAATCGAGTACTTATGGAATCTTGGATCCATTTTGGACTCGATGGGTATATAATGATCCAAAATTCATTGAAGAGGACATGAAAAGACAGTTAAACGAGGGAGAAAAAGAATGTTACTTTGCACCATTTCTCAACGAGTAAGTAATTTTGTAATTGATTTTTATCTCTTATATATATTTAGTTTTGTTTTAGCAAATACTAATTATATATATGCTCGTGTTTATTCAGTGATCATTGATAATTGATCATCGTATCATTTAGGACGAATACAATAACTACACCGTGTTCCTTAAATTATAAACTCAAAAGGAAAAGGAAAGATATTATTAATTGGTAAGTGTGTGTTTATACTTTAGACTTTAAATTAATATTTTCTTTGACATTGTAATTAGTTTATCACATAATATGTTTACTTCATTTTCAATCTACAATGTTGTGCATCAAGTGAATATCATACACAATGTTAGAAGAAAGCCCTCATGGCTCATGCCTAAGGTAAGTGTCTCGATTACCCGTTTCTTTCATTTACATTCACATGTGTTATATTTATGTAATTATTGCTTAAATTTTTAGACGAGGAAACAACCGAGGGGCTATGAGTATGGGTATTATATCATGAAACATATGTTAAACATTATCTTTGGCGACATTGTTGATTCATAGGATAAGCTATATATGTTATAAAATGTTTACATATATTATATATAATTTGACTATTCAATTATTATCATGCATGATATTTACTTTTTTTGCTCTTTTTTATGTAAATATTTAAGGATGAAACTCCATTCCCCATTGAGGACTTTATAGATCTTCGTAAATATTGGGTGCATATCCATAATGTGCTTACGGGTCCTGCTATTTGATTTATAGATATACATGCTTACATATATTTTGTGTTTGATGTAAATATTACATTTTGCTTAAATATATTGCGTGTTTGATGTAAATATTACATTTGCCTTAAACATATTTTGTGTTTGATGTAAATATTACTTTTGGCTATTGATGCAAAATGTAGGTTGTTTTTTATGATATTTATGCATTGTTAACAGAAATACAGGTTGCTTTTAATTCTCTAATATGGTTAAAATAGATAGAGGTTAAAATATGGGAAAAATTTTAAAAAGCAGAGAACTCCTTTTTTAAAATAGCTGAACTTTTGACAACGGGTATAACCACTAACCGTGGTTGTACATTGAATCTTGACATAAATTATAAAATGTTGATGCTGAGAATCAAACATGAGACCTTTAGGTCTATCACAACAATTGAGTTAGCTAACCATTGTAATATCGCGTGCACTTTCCAGAATACTACAACGGTCTCAGAACCGTGATTGTAAGTTATGCATTTACAACAACATGCATTACCATGCATTTCATCTTCATCAGAAAAACTCATTTTATCTCTTATGTCCAGAAAGATAAAATTGATTACTTGGCACACGCTCAGAATCTGAAGAATGTCCTAGAGAGCTATAAAAAAGCTTCAGCGAGGTCAAGATCAGTTGAGGGCAGAAGTTAACCAACTGAAAAGTCAGATGAGTTTGGTTTTAGACATCTTACAAGCTTTGTTGAAAAGGGAGAGCGACACTATGCCAAATGCTGCAACAGACTTAATTACCTCTCTTCAATTGTATGGTGACATTGTGGGCCAAATACAATCACATGCGGTAAGCTTTCCAACTCAAAATCGTTCTCCTAGAAGTGATACTTGGCCTTTGCCTCAGAAGGTTCCTCGCCAACAAAATCAACAACAAAATCTGCCTTTCTGCAAGTATACCTTACAGGATAATCAACCTATCGCAATGATGTATACTTAGTTGTTGCCTTACCTAATTCAGAGCAGTATTATGGTGTTGTACCCCAATTTCCCCCCCTAAGATTCCTCTATCATCTCATATCAAATCAATCACAACAAGATCACACTAGGGTTTGGTTCTTCTCCCTATCTTTAGGTTTGCACATGAGGAATCACCAAGAACCTTGATTTATATATTGTGATTATATTTGTTTTGTTTTTATTAACTTGTAACTAATAAATACAATGAATGTTGGCTCTAATTGAGGATGCTATAGGTAAGAGCACAACATATTTCATCAGGTTAATCTATAGGTTCATGAGTTTATTTCCGTGCCTTCTTTAACAAAGCTTCATTGATATTCAAGCTTCATCATTGAAGATGCTTTGAAGTGATATCATGACAAGGGCTACTATTATTCATCATGCCTCAATTTGTCAAAGAAAGTCAAAGGATGCAAGAGTTGATTGAAGAAGTTTGATCTAATTGGATAAGTTCTTGTTTTCTTGATCACAAGTGCATAATTCCCTCAATTCTTAATATTTGGAAGTGGTTATGGTTGCTATGGTTTCTCATTATCATCCTCAACAAATTATATTTACATGATAAAAGTATTTGTGCAAGAAAGTTTGTCAAATTTGAAAAGGGTTTCCAAGGTATTTTGGTGCTCTAGGAGCTAGGGTTTTGAACTTCTAAGGGCTATATCTTGCTCATCTTTTGGTATTTTTGAGTGATTCCAAATACATGCTTCTCTTTAAAGGGTTATCAACAAACCACTTCAAAAGTTTCAAGAAGATTTTATGTGGAAGATGTCTAATTATGAAGAAAGATTACAAGTCCTCTAGATAGGCCATCAAATTCCCTTATGTGACTTCAAAAGATCATAACTTGGCCAATTTTTATCTCCTTGAGCCTATTAATTTTCCACAACGATCTTAAGGATGTTAACTTCAACTCTTCTTTTATGTGCAAAGCTTGAAAATGAATGGAAGATGCCCTAAGGATGCAAAAGATTATAGGTCATCTCATGAATTTTCATCAATTCTGCAAGACCATAACTTTTTCAATACTTGGTATTTTTGAGTGATTCAAGTTTCACAATGCTCTTAGGGAAGTCTACTTCAAGTTATCATCATTGATCAAAGAAATATTTTGGAGGAAGGATTTGTTTGGAATCAAAA